GTGGCAGGGGCCTGCCAGCGCGTCGGTCACCTTCTACTTGGGCCGTTTCGGCAAACGACGCAACAGGCTTTAACATCGTACTGGAAATGCATCACAACTCTACCCTAATCATGTTTTAGAATCGGATGCTCTCGACTGAACACATAATACAGTAAGGAAATGGCTATACATACGACCAGTGTGTATAATCCTTATCCGACTAGTTCTCTAGTTGTTACTTGCCTGGTACCACATGGACAGAAATTAGCTTGCATAGAGAAAAATCCCTTGTCCGACTAGTTCTCTAGTTGTTACTTGCCTGGTCCCACATGGACAGAAACTAGCTTGCATGGAGAAAAATTGGACGCACGATTGGTAGATGAGCCATGGTCGGATGCGGGTCGGATGATAGTCGTACGTATAGCAGGACTCATACAGTAAATATGTACCGTATACGTACTTCGTATGCACTGGAATTAACCGTACCGTGGTGCATCAAGGAACCTGTACAATTGCAAATGAATGTTTTGACATTACTTCTACTGCCACGTTAATTGTTTTCTTGCATGGGTAAATATACGGCCAACATTTTGTGTTCAACGGAGGAACAACCTTTAATTATTGCATAAAATAACAAGCTAGCTGATATATCAGCAGCAAACTATCCTACTGTAGCACAGATCAATGCTATACGTTGACTTTTAAATATCATTTGCTTTTGAAAATATATTTTAAAATATATAACACTGCTAACTTTTGATATAATTTTTAATTATTTATTTTATTAAATATAAATATTATTTATTATGTTGCGACTTGTTTTATCATCAAATAAAATTTAGTAATTTTGAATATATACTTTTATATACTATAGTAATTTTTTTAATAAAACGAAGGATTAAACGTCCGTTTCATAACTTTTAAAAAGAATGTAGTATCATACACAGTTACGAAGTAGCGAACCACCAAGTGCGGCAGTTGGCGATCATAGTAGCGGCATCATCAAGGAAGTCGAAAACTGGGAGTAGCGGCGGTGGAAGGGAGCGCCCATCTAACGTGCACGTTATCGTATCTAACTACCGTATTTCGGCTAGGCACAGTAGTATGCATACATTGCACGCGGAGTCGCAGGCAGACGCGCGATGTGGTGGCCCTGCTGGGCACCACACACCCCACCACCGACCGCCACCGGGCACGGGGAAAGAAACTTTCGGCGCGGAACCGCGCGCACTGCTGGCGCTGGCGCGAGGAGGGAGGGAGACGCAGCGCAGGTGCAAGCGCGCAGGCGCAGGTGGAAGTTGGTCGAGCGGCGCGGCGACGACGAGGAGAGGAGGGCTTTGGCGCGGCGGTTCCCGAGGAGAGCGCGCGGCGTGGCGAGAGAGAGACTGTGCGGATGGGCGCCTCGAGCCCCGCGCGGGCAGGAGCTGGAGGGGACCGGGCCAGGCGCATCCGCAGCCGGCGCTGGCCGCCTTTCTTTTCTTTTGTTTTATCTACGCGTCCTGACAACGACCACAATAACTAAACCCTGCCAAAAGCCACCGGACGCGCAGGTCCAACACCACCCCGCCGTGCCCCTGCCTTACCTTATTAAAGCCTGCACTGCACTGCACCAGCCGGCCTCCGGTCCAACCGCAGCCGTCTTATCCGTCGCCTCCCTCAACGCCGACACGTCCCCGCGCCGTCCCCTACTCCACTTGCAAAAACACGCTCTCCTCTCCACTCCTGCTCCTGCCTGCATCGCGGTGCTCGACCCAACTTCACGTGATCATCCATCCCCGGTGTGTCTTTCTCACGCAGAAAAAGCAGCTCTCGACTTGCAAGGTGCGGTGTCTTCTCGAGTCAAACGATCGCTAAAGCGAAAGCCGCCCATGGTGGAAGAAAGCGACGACGATTTACGTGGCACCAGCCAGACAATCGATCCGATCCGATCCGACGCCTCCCCGGCCTTGGGCTTAGCACGCGTCAGCGTGAGGTGACAGAGAGATGCCGAGGCCGTACGCGACGATTTTAAAGCAGGTGCACGGAAAGGCGATCGAATCGAATCGGTGTGTGTGTGTGTGTGTCAGTGACTCAGTGGGGATGCACCGGCCTGGTTGACGGGCTGGGCCTGCAATCCATCACTATGCCGGCCTGCGTGCACCGTACGGTACGGCGAAGCTGGCCCATTGCCCTTCACCATCAAGACCCTGCCTCAGTCGCCTGTCTCCTCTCACGTGCTAAACGGCGCGGCGCGGCGCACCATGGACCAACCCTTCCCCAGTAGGAGTATCATGGGTGCGCTGCCTCATGCCAAGCCTTTGCAGGCACAACCTGTATCAACTGGAATGGATGCGATCGCCGTTTGCTGTACTCCGTGGAGTAGGAGCAAAATCAGTTTCGGTCGATTCAGCACAAAAGGTGGTGTCGGTCACGGACTATGGCGATAAGCCCATGGCGATGTGTATTTCTGGGCCATCAAATCGACCAAAACCCAGCCCAGCAATTTATGGGCCATACCATTCGACCAAACCCAGCCCAGCAATTTCTAGGCCATCCAATCGACCTAAACCAGTTTTGGGCGCATGCCACGGCATCGTTGGGCCCAATTTGTCCGAAGCTGCTATTCTTCTGCCTTTTCTCGCGATTTTAACCCTCGCAAAGCTATATGTCATGCCCCTCTCAAAAAAAAAAAAGCTACTATATCCATGTTTGGCTGTGTTTAGTTCCACGCCAAAATTGAAAGTTTAAAAAAAATTAAAACTATGTGATGGAAAAGTTGGAAGTTTGTGTATAGGAAAGTTCGATGTAACTGAAAAGTTGAAAGTTTGAAGAAAAAAGTTGGAATCTAAACATAGCCTTTATCGAAACAGAAATGCTACGCACCGTATTCTGTGCCCTGCACGTATGCTGGTAAAACCGTGAATAGACACACACACACACACACAGAGAGAGAGGGAGACATGAGGGACGATGCGGTTGGGCGGCTCACACACAAACAAGCGATGGATTCTCTCTCCCTTCTATTTGCCGAGAGGACGGAGGTAGCAGATGACAACCCAACGATAGCGATGCGAGTAGAATGCTAACGGCATAGGGGCAGAAGGCGGAGCAACAAGAAGCGGACAGTGGAGGCCAGTGCATGTAACGACGCGACGAGCACAGGGTGGCAACAAGATGCATATCCATCTAGCTTTCTTCCTCGTGCTGGTACCGACAGGTATCAATATATACCGAAGGTATAAACATAACATATAAAAAATATCACGTGGTACCTCACAGGTATCATCTTGTCCAAACGAGAACCCATGATAATAGCCCCTTATCGACAAAGTTTGGTTTGCCAGTTCCATTGATCTCTGTTGCCATTACCCTTATTCCCCCTTTCCTAAGTTGATCGAGCGATAACTCTTATTCTCTCTTTCCTAAGTGGATCGAGCGGTGATGCATGGCAGACGTTTATCACTCTCCATTCCCAATGAGCTCTATCCGTGCCTGCCCTGATACTGATAGAGCGGGTGACATAGGGAGTTACCGACACAATATTTTCATACCAAATCCCTATAAAGTTGACCTCTCCCTTGAACTTCTGTCATGTGGTGTCCCTGGAAGAAATATAAGTGGAGAATTGGGACCAGGCCGAAGGAGATTGGAGCCTAAAGATGAGAGACTTCAACGGATTCTATGAAATTCTCAGGAAATCCAAAAGAAACAGGAAGAGGAACTACTCTGAGTAGTTGATAAATTTGTAAGATCCTTCACAAGAGTTAGATGTGGAATCCAACAAACAACACGAGTACAGTGTTACCCCTCCAAGTGTTCCAAACCTGTATAATTCTCACTTGTTCATCTGTTTCACTTCGAAGAGGGGCCCAAGCTGTCCATCTGATGCGACTAGCCCCTCAGCTGAACTCAGAGGAGGGGGTCCCATCGGATCTCTGATATCAACGTACACACGCTAACATATACTCCCTCTGTTTTAAAATGTTTGACACCGTTGACTTTTTAGCACATGTTTGACCGTTCGTCTTATTAAAAAAATTTATGAAATATGTAAAACTATATATGTACATGAAAGTATATTTAACAATGAATCAAATGATATGAAAAGAATAAATAATTACTTATTCCCTCCGTTTCATAATGTAAGTCATTCTAGCATTTCCTATATTCATATAGAGGTTAGTGAATCTATATAGATATATATGTCTAGATTCACTAACCTCCATATGAATGTGGGAAATGCTAGAATGACTTACATTATGAAACGGAGGGAGTCTATTTTTTGAATAAGACGAACGGTCAAACACGTATTAAAAATCAACGGTGTCAAATATTTTGAAACGGATGGAGTATTTTTCTTGAAAGATACATAGTTTGCTTTATTTTATCGGTAGGCCCTAAATTTTGCTTCAACATTCGCCACTATGGTCAACAGCTGGTTGCTGGCTAGTTACCTCTCCGCCAAATCCAGTAAGTTGAAAAGACATTGCAAGTAATGTTGTGGCAGATTATATGGATCCATGTGGTCTGACCGAAGAACTGAGCTTTAAGCCTTTAACCAACACGATCGAGCCTTAACATTTCGTTTAGTGGGGTAGGCGATGTGTAGCATCTGCATCGTCTTGGGCGACCAGCTAGCTAGCTGGACTACAGGTCGTTCACTGAGCGGAACCGCGGACAGAAATCACGTAACCAGAAGTGGGAAGAATTTGTGCCTACTTTTACAGTTACTCGGTGTAGTTCAGTTTGTTGATTGTATGTTATTGCTGAAATAAAGTAGGTGCAGAACCGAGAGAAAGAATGCTTTGCCTACTGCTAGCACTGACCAAACCTAAGTTTTACTAAGGTATTTATTCAGTTCGTTGATATGTTATTGCTTAAATAAAGTCGCGTGTTTGTATGCCGAACTCTCTCCTTGGGAGGCTTGGGCTTGTGCTGGCAAAAAGAACACAAAAAAAAAAAAGGAGAACGCCCACCGTGGGGCTCAAACCCACGACCAGGTTAAGAGCCTTGCGCTCTGCCGACTGGGCTAGACGGGCAGCTTGAATTTAATCGGATCGTTTTCATTCTCTAACGAGACAAGGACCAAACAAGCCACATACAGTATCACATATGCTACATAATTGATTTAACCCACACGAAATCACCTATTACAATCCTTATTTACTAACTCAGCGTTTAAAAATAACATACTAGATGAACTGTGGCATGAGCTCATGAATGGTAAGCCAAAAGTCGAACGCCTGACGGCCAAGCTAGTACGTACGTACAATACAATTACGCAATTCGCACAGTGATCGATCAGGCCGTGCAAAGCTCACGGGAGAAGCCGACGCGGCCGTTGGCGACGTCGAACAGCACGCGTTGGTTCTGCTGCTGCATGCTGGCCAGCACATTGAGCGCCGCGTTCACGCCGTCCGAGGGCCCCGCGGCCATCGCCAGGCACGCGACGCCGCCCGACGAGCTGTGGATCATCACGTTCTCCTCCGGCAGCGTCACGGCGACCGCCCCGGCGAACATGAACGTGACGGTAGGCACCGAGACGGTCACGTTGTAGCACGTGTCGAACCCGCCCAGCGGCGGCGCCACCGGCGTGCGCACCCTGCCCCGGAACGCGTCGCGCACGGCGGCGTACACCGGGGCGGCAAGCCGCGTGAACATTGTCCCGGCGTCGATGATGGTGCCGCTGCCCGTGACCGGGTTGAACGCGAGCGCGGATTGCGGGACTTGCACGACCTTGCTGCCGACGCGGATCCCGATCATGTTGACGTAGTAGAGTGAAGGGCGATGAGGGTTGTAGAGCAACGGCGTCGTCTTGATCCTCTTGGGTTGCCCGATGGGGCCGAGCTTTAGTGTGCCGGAGAAGTTAGACGACCTGTAGTTCGGGAGGCAGTAGGAGAACACGGAGCCGTACGTGTCCTTGGTCTGCGACAAGAAGGAGAGCGGCCCGCGGCCGAAGCCGATGAGCCCCTGCGGCGGCACGGAGTTGCCGCTGACGACACGGAGGCACCCGAAGGTGTACGACACGACGACGTTGTTCTCGAGGGCCAGCGAGTCCTGCCCGAGCACGGCCTGGAACGTGGACGCCGCGTAGGTGAGGTTGAACCCGCAGGAGGAGCCGACGCCCGCGGGGCAGGACGGGCTGGGCACCTGCGCGCACTGCGGCGAGCCGCAGGGCACGGTGCGGTACGTGGACGACTGCGTCGGGGAGAAGGACGGCGACGAGGCGGCGCAGCCGGCGCAGGCGCTGCATGGCACCCACGCCGCGTCGTTGCTGGGGTCGATGGCCACGAGGAGCGTCTGCGCCGGCGTGCCGAGGCCCGCGCGGGCGATGTAGTTCGGGATGCTGAGGATCTGACGCCCCGGCGCGATCGGCACGGGTGGGTTTGCCCTGTTCTTGGGTTTGGGCTTGGCTCTGGTCGTCAGAGGCCCCGCCCCCGACGTGAGCATGCTGACGATGCGCGCCGTGTCCGCCGCCGACTGGGCGGCTACGGACGCGGCCCACGCGCTGAGCGGCGCCCCGGCATTGGGCGTCACCGAGTGAGAACGTGCCAGCTGCAGCGTTGAGCTGCTCACTGCCGTTGTAGGAGTCAAGAATATGGACAAGAAGGCTAGGAGTGGTAATGCAAGGAGTGACATGATTGCTTTGCTTCTGGTGTGAGAAATTGAGGGCGTGTCAAGCTAGTGTGATGCGAGGAGCTGGCTTGGAGATGGTGGTGTATATATAGCAGTTCATACGGGAGTTCGTTCCTATGAGACGTGGATGGAATGAGATGATCCGTTCCTACCTATCCAATTTGATCCTTTAACTGTCAATCACAGTTCGTAAAATACTTTGTCACTGGGTGGTTAGAAAGAGAAATATCCACATCAATGTAAAACAGGTATGTTTTGAATATGATGTGCCCTTTTGGTATGCTTCAAGTTACTCCCTTACCATCATACATACACTGGGCAAAGAAAATGAAGCGAGGAGGAAAATTATACATCTGTTGAGATGGATTCTAATCGAGGATATCCACCCGTTTATTACATGTTAACTAAATGAGTATAACAAATTTTAGAAAATGATAAGATAGATTGATATGTTATCCCTTCATAAATATATAAGTTTAAATTCGATTTCCATAAGTTGTAATAAAAACAATAAACTTAAAGTAATTAGAGTTCGATTTCTTATTTTTGTTACAACTTGTAGAAATTAAATTTAAAATTGCATGTCTGGGGTAACATATTGCATAAGTATCTATCTTATCAAAAAAAAATTAACCATTTAACTAGTTGACATGTAATAAATAGTTGGATATTCACCTAGGTGACTTGCTAAAAGTATTTCGCCATCCGTTTTCAATTGCATGTGCTCTAGAGATTAGGCGGAAGAGTTTGTCATGACAACCCGTGAACGATAATAGCTAGCCTAGAACAACAAAAATGGCCACGGCATGTCTGAATTTTAGAACTCATTTTTGAATTAATTTATTGTTTTCATTTGTTTCATTTAGGCTTAGCTTTTGTACAATAAAGGTAGAATTGTAAAAGTTTTATCCTAAAATTATTTTTCGTTTTATTGGGGTAAAACATATTGGCAAGTTGTACAGAGCTTAAAGAAAAGATAATTTTATCATTCTTATGAATATATCAGAAGATATCATATTTTCTAGTGTAATATTTTGTAGATATTAAAAATTTTAGTATAACATCATAGTACCTTCATGTACTTTCTCAAGATCGTAAAATTTCTTTTTTTTTTGGGACCGGTTGAAGGATTGGACCAATCAAATGTTATCAAGATTAAAGGAGGTAACATTTCTCTCAAAAAATAATTTCCAACTTCGCCTACCCAGACTCTGAAGGGAAATTGTTGCGATGCCTGTGGGTCCTTGGTGCATGTAGCCTTTGCATTGCATGCTATCTCGGTCAGCTCTCGAAGTCTCGATCCAGATCGCCTCTTCCAGATCATGTGGCTGCAGCGCAGTTGCCGCGTTTGCGGTGTACGAGTGTGACCTGCACAGACTGTACGTACTCCATGGTGTTGGTGGTTGGTATTGGGATAGTGGGATGATCGATGGGGGTTTGCGGGAGGCAGGAGCTAGTGCCCTAGTGCTGCATGCATGCGACGAGATGAGGAGCTCAAGGCATACTCACTCATCGATCGCGTTTGTGCTTGCTAGCTATGGATGCTGCTGTGTTCTGCTCAGGCAGAGCACATGGACGATCCATGCATTCATGCAATGGGATGTGCACTCCAACGATGACGGAATTATTCCACGCATCGAAGATACTTTGTCGGCGTATGAGTACCGGGCACCGATAGACGTGAGAAATCTATCGTCCGCGATCGACCAGAGTCTCTATGTACAATCGGCGTGTCCGGGTGTGTTCGGGAATCAGGTAAATAAAAAAAATGGTCACGTACGTATACAAGTTGGAACCTACCTAAGAATAACAAACCTACTCCTACTCTTGGCCACTGTACAAAAGGTTCACAAATTATGTGGTGTTCTCGAGCTAAAGAAAAATAGAGATTTGGAGGAAGAGATGTCCCTCCAAATATATTTTTAAGAAGAAATTATAAACATGTTAGAAATTGAATAAAAAATCTTGAAGTTAAAACCATATACCATTTGCCACTGTACTATCAAGTACATCTTAAGAGTTCTCAAGCTAGCTGACAAGTCTAGAGTTTTTGTTGATTCTACCGTCCAACCCTTTATATTGAGCTACAAAATAGGTTTTTACAACCTTTGGTTGCCCCATCTTTGAATATTGTGCACGATCATCAGTATATGAACTAATTAACTCGCCAATTTTACTGTAACAGCAAGACATCCTACGGGGCATCAAACGAGACCTGCTTGAAGTCTAGAACCAGGTAGCCAGACCACCAATAACGAAAGGTAGAGTCAAGAAGCAACCCAGCACAACATATGAATATTCGGTATGGTCGGTTAGGCCGAAGACTGAGTTCGAACTATCGGTTAAACTAACAGTCAATTCGAAAGCCGTTAAGATGGTGAATGATTAGCTTACAATAAATTGAAGAATTAACTGTTCTGAATAAAATACAGATTTATTTGATTTTAGATAAACTTATATAAAAAAAATTGCACGACACATATTATTTTGCATTTTAAAAATATTCCCATCATAAGCTACTAGTCAGTAGCTAAAAAGAACTTTCAGTTGCGAGGTAGGGGTGCAAGTGGATACTACCCGCATAAAAAACCATTTTATCCGTCCCGCTTGCATCCCTACTGCAGGGGAGTACCCACCTTACCCAATACTCTGGTTTTGCTCCTCGTGTAGAGCAGAGTAGTTTTTATTCTGTCAGAAAGAGAATTTATATTGCTAAAATGCCAAGTGCACTGCAATCGATCGATCTGTATACTAAGCCAATAATTAACGTTTCATCAATTTGTACAGTACAGCCCGGCCATGTATATAGATCGATCCATGAGAGATCTCAACTAATTCTAGAACAAAGCACTCCTTGCTGGCTCTGCTACATATATGCAAGCACCATGATTTTTTTTCTTTTTCAGCATATAAAATAAACCTGTATCCTTATTTGCTTCTATTGCTCTTGTTTCTATTTCTATGGTTGCTCGATCGCAGGGGATGTCCTGGTGGTGAGCGATGGCCTCATCTTGACGATCTGCTCGTCGTCGACGCCCATCCTCTTGGCTGACATGCCGGTCTCGAAGAAGCGCTTTACAGCGCCCCGCATGTACGCGATGCCTTCCCTGACGTTCATCCTGTCCCTGATCGTGTCCTGCAGGCTGCTCAGCTGGTGGTCCCCGTTGAGCACCGACGCCAGCTGAACCAGCTCCTGCTGGAACTCACTCAGCTTCGCCTCCTCGTTCGCCTCCGTCAGCCGTATCCTCATCGGCATTGGGAGTTGCTCTGCATTTTGCATCAAGGATAAAAAGGCAGTGCCAAGTGAACAACTTCTGAAGACTATTACTACATTACATACATTCGCAGTACGCAACTGAACATGGCCGTCTTACCTGGGCAATCCGTCCTTGGCTCAGTTCTGCCTTGCACGACACTCTCAAACGTTCCAGCCCAGGCGTCCCTTTTAGTCAGGAAATCCTGTGGCAGATCGAAGAGTTTCTTCACGGTCGCGGGGATGGACGAGTGCTCGTACTCCGACGTCGCGGTTGGGCTCCCGTTTGGCCCATGAACAACTGAAAAATATCAACACAACAATTGTCAGTTCAAAACACACTAATTAAGCAGGCACGCAGTCAAAGCTTAGTTAGGCACAGTAACAGCAAAAATAGTCGTTACTACTCATCACTGACCTGTACCCTTGTTGATCCAGGGGGAGATGACGATGGCTGGGACACGGACGCCGAGGCGATCAAAGGCGAAGTTATACGGCGGCGGGCCGACGATGCCGTCGGGGCTGGGGACGCCGGTGACGGGGGTGGGGACATGGTCGTAGAAGCCGCCGTGCTCGTCGTAGGTGACGACCATGAGCGTCTGGTTCCACTGCGGGCTGGCGCGGAGCGTCTCGTACACCTCCTTGACGAGCATCTGGCCCTGGAAGACGTCGTGCGACGGGTGGTCGTCGTTGGCCGGGTGGGACTTGGAGTCCATGTAGTGCTGCTCCACCACGGCGTAGTTTGGGAGGGAGCCGCGGGCGGCGTGGTCGCGGAACGCGCCGTGGAACGGGTGGAACTTGGTCAGGTACTTGAGCTTCCGCAGGTTGCGGTAGAAGAGCACCGCCGGCACGTCCTGGTAGTAGACCCCGAACGACAGCCCGGCGTCGTGCACGTTGTCGAAGATTGTACGCTGCGGGTAGCCCTTCGCCAGCAGCCTGCACGACCAAAAACACACACGCCAACCAAGTTTTTATTAGTTTGATCGATCATCAAAAACTGAAGTGCCCGAATTGGGCCGAATCCATGTACCGGCCCAAACTGTTCTTTCTTCTCTTAAGTTCGTAGCCCATTAGGCACTACTAATTCGTAGCCCAGTTCTTAATTTATTTTTTTTTCTTGACACGGCATGAACTCGGTGGAATCCAGGAATCTTCTCGGTTTCTTACGACTCACCAGACCCCACGCACCGACACAAGTCGTGGTTGGCGCTGTCACCGCAATACATTACTGTACCATTCACTTGTTTTTTTAAGGGTTTCCGATCATGGGCCAGCAGGCCAGGTGTGTGTCTTGCCTCCTGACACGTATTTCTGATCCGATCCGGTGCTTGTCACTAAAATCTATTTCACTGTCAGGTGGGGCCATTCAAACTGTACCCATGGTTAGTAGCGAGACGATGAGCAGTGTCAGTCAGCCATGGATCGAAAGGGGACCACCATTCTCTCGACGTTGCGTGCCTCCTTTCCCTCGACTGCTTTCACATGGACGGTGGATCCAGCCATCGATGTCTTAGTGACTAATTTAATCCATGTTCACCGTAATGCGTTAACCTGATCGATGGTCTGGAGCACGCGACAGCAAAAGCGAAGGGCAAAAGCAGGGAATTAATCAACAACGCACGGCCCATAAGAAAATTAACTAATCAAAGGCTGCCCGCGACATATATACCCCGATTTGAAATCCGTGCTAGTGCTATTGTTTTTTTTAACTTAGTACCGTAGTACTCCTGTCTAATGACAAGTGGATGGCATAATGAGTTTCTTTTCCAAACAAATCCTGGTGCTGATAGTGGCATAATTGGCATCGTTCTATCT